AAAAAAAAAAAAAAAAAAAAAAAAAAAAAAAAAACGTTAGCCATTTCTGCTGAATACTAAAACTCCTTTAAAATTTCCATTCTTTTTTCAAATTTTCTCGACTGTTCCACTTTTCATCTTCTCTTTTTTTTCTTTTCCTTTTCTATTTTGCATTCATTCCTCTGTCTTCACTTGTGCTGTGAAAAAAAATTCATTTTTCTTTAAAAACACTTTATTAGATAAAGTTAATGGCAGCGAACTGAAGTGTTTGCGAGGAAAAAACGATTCATTGGAAGTAGAAAAAAAGGAAGAAGTTTTTGCTGCTAATTTTTTTGTTTTTCTTTTCCAGTGACTAACGGTAAAAGAAGAAGACAAAGGAGAAAAAAATGCAGTAGGGTAATTTAATTGAAGAAATTTCATAAGAGATGATAGATAGACAACTGATGAAACACACGAATAGGATGCCTATTAATCGTTACAGAAGTTTGGCAGGGCTGATCAAAGTATGCCGGCGACAAATAAAATTTATTTATTTATATATTTTTTTTGTTTTCTCTGATCACTTTGTTCACATTTTTTTCACTTATGGTTCACTCTCGAATTTCGTTTTCGCTTCTGTTTTTTTTCTTAATAATTATTCCCAGTCTTTCCTCTCTAAAAGAAAGAAAAGCTTAAAATTTCAGTCCATCCTTCGTTACGCAATTTGTTAAGACAAAAAACAAGAACAAATAAAAAATAAAGGCAGGTTTTGATTATTCATTTCATAAAAAACAGAAAATAAAGAATTGTATCTGAAAGAAAATGGAACAAAGTCTGATGTTGGGGAGAGGATACAACCGGTGCAGTCTTCTGCGCTATCGGTTCTGTTAAACAGAAGCTATGAACACAGTGTAATGATGATGATGATGATGATGATGATGATGATGGTGATGATGGTGATGATGATGATGATAATTACGGTTATGGTAATGATGATCATCATGATGACAATGACGACTGCGGATCATGAACAATATTCATATCCAATCACAGAAGCAAAACACAGACACACAGACACAGAAATACACAAATTTTTGCGTGTATATATGTATTCATTTTTTTTTCTTTGATTAACTGACTACAATTTTTCACAGAATTTGGTGAAGACCAGTGAACAACGTATGAACGATTAATGATCTCATTCCGGTGGATAAATAAAGAATAATGAGAAGAAGCGGGGAAAAAAGAAAAAGAGAAAGAGAGAAGACACAAAAAAATTAGTTGGTTTTTTAGTTTTCTCAGCTAACCATTTTTCCTAAATCATTAATTGTTTATTTTTGCTAAAGAAAAAAAAGACAGTGAAAAGACTATACTGAATTAAAAAAGTTTGCAAAAAAAACTATATATTTATCGAAAATACGACGATTTTCTATTTGAAAGAAAAAAACACACACATATACATTAATTTATTTCCTCCTCAATTTCTGCTGGTTTTTTAACAAATTTTTTATTCTTACTGATGGTTACTGTAGTGTTATTTTGACTAATTAAATAGTCATCATAAAAAACAAGCATTTTTTTTCTGCCTTAGAGGATGTGCATAAAAAAATAGTCGTTAAAGTAGTAAACGAATGACACACACACAAAAGAATAGAACACGAAGAATGTTTCGTTTTTGACACCGCCAAATAGTTGGCGAATAGTTCTACTGTCCGGTTTGAACTGTCTTTTGCGTATGTGTTGCACGTTCTTCACCGCTCTTGTTCTCCAGCTTGGTGACCACATTTGCGCCAATACCCCATGTATTTTCGCCTTCAAAGACCAAAGTATCTGGTGGATTGTGAACACCGCCTTGGTCGCGTGCAAAGATCTGTAAATGAATTGCCGATAACTTAGTGGCCATTCACATTACCCCATCTCATCAACCCTTCCCACACCCTATCCTCATCGCGCTATCCTTTCTCCTACCGATCTAATATACTGCTGTTTTGCAAATCGCTTCTCGACATTATATTACAACTGCTGCCTAGACTGAAGGTTGGGCGATCTGACATAAATGAACCATAACTTAGCAACTGCTTGAAAGATTGGTAATTGAGAGGCGTGTTGAAGACGAAGATCGATGAGTGTTGTACAGACGAATGATGAACAGAAAGTGGTAAAGAAGATAAGAGGCAAAAAAATTTTACTAGTTTTTTAAACGCCGTTTGTCCAAAAAAACACTTGTTTTGCTTTTTCGTTTCCGTTCAACTTTTCCCAGTTACTGGACTATGATTGAACGGCGAAGGGAAAGCAAAAGAAACATCAAATTAACAAACCTTCATTGTATGGTTAGCTTTAAGTATGGTATTTGCTGGAATTGTATAAACAATTTCACGGCGACCATCCAGTTGTCGTCTAATCTTGTGCTCACCAACATTTTCGTCCTCAATTAACAGTATCGTTATGAAGTTTTACAATAATCCGAGGAACATATTAATGTATAAGTAAAAAGTTTGGTGGGAAAAAATGTATAAAAACCTTAGTTCGGTGAGTATTTTCCAGCATAATGTATTTGCCATTAGGGTCACATTCAGCGATTGTTACATTTCCCTTTGCTGAACGTTGGAATGTTATTTTAGTTGAAACTTCACCACGAATGTTACGAGTTGAGTCGGTATCTTCTTGTTGTTGGATTGAACGTGTTTTAACAACTTGTTCAACCATACTCTTCAGGCCAACACTTAAACAACATTTTAAAATGATACAGAATTCCGCTAAAGTCACCTGTACTTAGGTGAAGCAGAAAAGAAAAAAATTAGCCACGTTCAATGCTAAGATTGTTCCTACAATCTTAAATCATAACAAGTCATTACAATCTTTCCTCAACTTGTTCCGTCACAAAAAAAAAAAGAGAATGACAAAAATATATTACCGGCTTTCTTCACCCTCCAACATCTTTCTGTAAATGGCAATTTCAGCATCAAGCAATTGTTTAGTATCAAGAAGCGCTTGTAGTTCAGCAACGAGTGTCTGACATTCCTCACGCATGCGTCTCAACGTAGCGTCACGATCGTTCAGTGCGGCTTCATATTGTCTTTGGTCATCGTTCAACTAAAAAAACTTATGCCATAAACGAGTAAAACCAGCTCTAAATACTAGCTGGCTGATGGCCACATTTCTGTCAGTAAAACTGTGTAGGAGTGCCAGCATGCCTCACCTGATAGTTCAAGTTTTGTACTTCCTTCTCCAGCAGGGCATTCTTGCTTTCCAAATCTGCAAGCTTGCCGCGGAGATCACCAATATTATCACGCATACGTTTTACCTCTTCCCTCTGGTAGTTTGATTCCATATTGGCACGATTAGCCGAGCCTTGCACTTCGGAAACCTAAACAGAATTAATATGTAAAGTCTGCATAAGACAACCATCCCGGAATAATTATGGGATAAAAATTGACTTAAAAAGGGATTTACATCAGACCTTGAGCTTGTACCAGCTTTCCATATCTTGTTTGCCTTGTTTAGCAATGTAATCATATTCGTCTTTGATATCGCGAATAGCAAGAGCCAATTCGTTTTTAAAGAATTCACGAGTATCTGCAGGAGCTTGGGCAAGCAGGGCTTGAAGTTCTTTGACTTCCTGTTCATGCACACGACGGAGAAATTCTAGTTCCTCCATTAATGTTTGCACTTGATTTTGGTAATCAATGCGCCCTATAGTCTCAGCATCCAGATCCTATAAAAAAATCCAATAACACATTGTAGACAAATCAATAACTACTGTTTAAGATGGTTATGTTGATCCAGAGATGTTGTTATTAAAGCACAAAAGTGAATACAGTGCGGGCTTTCTCCAGCTCCTTCCAAATACGGGCATTGTCGTTGTTCAAGCGAGTTTCCTCATCTGTCAGTTGCTTCCAACGAGCCCGAAGCATTTCCAATTCACTTTGGGCATCTTCAATTGCATGCTGCCACTGGTTAATCTTTTCTCTGTCATTTTCACGACGGTGTTGAACATCTTCATACCTACAACAAAAATGCTGGCATTAGCCGTTGCTTGATTTCTGAACTATTGTCGTTCTTGTTGTTGCCGTTATTAAAGTCGTACTCAATAATGTGCCAATCATAATGTTTCAGTTAAACCCTTTGCAGCACTAACGGAAAGAAAATGAAGAAAAAAAACTAAAAAATGCAAAGATTTCTTCCCCATCAGCACAATGCTGTTTGTTCAAACATTTCACGTACAAATTGGATACTTCGGCAAAAAATTTTCAACTGAAGAGGAAGAAAAATGTTTAGTTAAGCCGCTTAAAGCAACTGTATTGTAATGGAAAAGTTGAAAAGCAAATACGTTCTTTCGTTTTTTGTACCTTTTTCACTTCTCATTTGTTTTATTTTTTGTCATTTTCC